ACATTCATTTTTACTGCTGCTATCCTTCCCAACAAAGACAGTTGTGGTTTTTCCCATTTTTTCATCTCTACCTGTATTCTGTGCCATAATGGTTCATAATTGTACTTATATAATTTCCCATTTGAGGTTGTAATATAAACTCCTAAATATTTAACCTTTTTTACTATCTCACATCCTGTTATTCTTTCTAATTCTTCTCTTTGGTTAGTGTTCATATTTTTAACATCTTTGTTTTCCCTAGATTTATTTTAAACCCAGATACTTGACCATATTGATTAATCATATTCATTAAGGCCTTAGTAGATTTCCCTGGTTGGGTTAAAGTTAAAACCAAGTCGTCCGCAAATGCTCGTAATCTGTATTCGTGATGTCTAATCTTAATTCCCTGTAAGTCATCTGACCCCCGTATTTTATTCAGCGATAACGGCAGCATGTCTTAAGGTTTTTTTCCCCTTTGTCCAAGTTTGGTAGGTGCAGGCAGTTATTGTTATCTGACATTTGTGATCCCAGCTTTTTCTTTCCTTTTCTCACTAGGCTGTGTGCTGCAGTGACCACCTTCACTGTTGTCCACAGGGCACCCAGTGTGACCTGAAGCATTCCATATGCACCATGATGCCTGAGGGATCATGGCCCATCACTCACCTCACTGCAGGCCTCCAGACAGGTGAGGTGATTAAGTGCTGTGCCAGGTCACTGGCCAAAAGGAAATGTCCTATGTAAAATAAGGGTGCCAGAAGAAGCTTCATGCGGTTAGAGAGGAAAGCCAATTTTTAAAAGAAAATTGAATGCTAATCTCTTGGGAAGAAAAGGCATGAGGCTTTTTGGAATAAGGAGAAAAGCAGCCTAAGGCACTGAGAAGAGTAGGTTTTTTTTGTTTAAAATAAAAATCTTTCCCATATGTTTTGCATGCTGGACTAATTTCTATTTTAAATGATGGTGGATTGGGTAGTGAGTAGGGATTTTTCTCAGTTCAGTGCTCAAAGCAGCTGCTCCATTTCACCATATGGTAGGGCCCTAGTGACTCATTTGGGAAACCACCGAGGGAAACAATTCTGAACAAGATGGCTGGTGGATCTAATTCAGGAAGCAGGTTTTTATGGCATGATTCTTCCTCCACAGGTGCAAAAAACTGTATAAAATATGGCGTGAGGGGCGGAATCTTGTTTTCTGAGAAAATATGTATGCTTTCTTCCAAAGGAATTTAACAGCTTTAAAGCAGGGGTCCCCAAACTTAGCAATTTTAAGACTTGTGGACTTCAACTCCCAGAATATGCTGGCTGGAGAATTCTGGGAGTTGAAGTCCGCAAGTTTTAAATTTGCCAAGTTTGAAGACCTCTGCTTTAAAGATTGCAAAACTTTCCTGTTCTGAGCAGTGTCTATGGAAATAATGGAAACTAGAAACATTGTTCATTAAGATGTAATGTGCAAGAGACTAGGATGCCTATGACTTATCCAATTTCTTGTTTCTGTTCTGCACTTCCTAGCAGAAGGAGAATAATTTTTGCATTAGCATTAAATAAATCAAAATAGATAGATTTAAGACACTTTATAGTACTTTTTCACATTCTGTAGAAATCAAGTTAACTGAGAAACTCATAGCTATAAACTGATTATGAGTGCAGATGTATATGTTGATGTTAAGACCACCTCTCATTTTCTTTCCCCAAATTGAGCACTTAGGGTAGGTCCCGCCCCCCCCCTTATAGGTTCCAGGAGTTATCTTAATTGTTCGTTGCATTCCTTCTTTCCATATGCATATATTCTAGATTTTGTGGAGGAATTGCTGGGTTATCATTCACAAAACCTTGATTGACAATTTTAAAAGTTACAATATAGCCAATCTGGAAAGTACTAAATTGGGGAAAGCAGGTCTATCAGTTGCTTAAGGAGATAGTGTGGAGAAGGCTTTGTGTTCTTCTTTGAACATAACAACTTTGTCATCTTGTAGCTCATGACGTTCAATGTGATGATGAATATTCATGCCCAGATGGAAATACTTGCTGCAGGACACTCTCAGGTTCTTGGGGGTGCTGCCCAATAGAGGAGGTAAGAGGAACTATTTTTGTCAGAAGACATGGCTAATTAATCTGGAAACTTGATGGGCGCCATACTTGGGGTGGTGGTAGGAAGAGATCTTTGGTCTTAGAGGAACTGAGCATATACTCTGCAGATTGGCAATATCAGCTCTTATCCTGGTATTTGCTATTTTAAAGTATCCTTCAGAGAAGACTTCAAAAAACATATAACAGTTGGAATTGGGACAACTGGCCAGATGGGTATTCAGTAAAACACACACACACACACACACACACACCCCCTCCTACCTCCTAGGGGCAAAGAATTCCATGATGGTCTAATTATCTTTTGTCTTTCCCAGGCCATATGCTGCCTAGATCATATCCATTGTTGTCCAAAGGGTTACACGTGCAACTTGTCAGAAGGCACCTGCCTGAAAGATGGCCAAAGGATTCCTTTGGTACCCAAAATGGACAAAAGCTCCACAACAGCCTCAGAAATAGATTCAAGCTCTACAGCATCTTCCATAGGTCAAATAGTCCAGTGTGATCCCTTCACAGCTTGCCAGGATGGCCAGACTTGTTGTCGCCTTGCAACAGGTGCTTGGGGATGCTGCCCATTCCCACAGGTGAGAAGAGACCTAAGTGTATTTAATGCTATTGTGGGGAACACAGGAAATGTGAAATTGCTTTGTTTCCTGTCAGGAGCTTTCTAGTATTTGCATAGTTACGTAAATAGATGCAAGAAAGGAAAGGGTGATATTGAGTCTGGTCTATGAGCGAGGAAAAAAAGGGAACTAATCTCGGTTAAGTGCTGTTTTCTCAGGTTCTGTCAGTTCAGTCCGCCTCTCATTTCTCACTTAGATTGCTCATAGTTGGGAACCCTTGAGGTGTGCACAAAAATTGTAATTCCTTCTTAAATTATATGCATCTCAGTTGCTAGGCTTTTCAGGATGTTCCTGTGTTAAAAGTTTGAGGGGGAAGATCTTGGAAAAGAGAAGGGGGGTTATTTTTGTTTACTTACACTTTCTGTATGATTTTTTTCTGCAGAACTGCAGCGGAGTTGTTGACTCCAATATTGCCCAGTTATGGTTTCGCAACTACTCACCTGAGAGGCTTAGGTCTATTAAAAAGTCAGGCAATTTTTGCATAGCCGAGAGCAACATTTTTTAAAACCTAGCATTATGGGGAACCAAAGGTTTCTGAGATTGTGCAGTAAAATCAGCAGTGGTTTGAGATCTGGAGGCAGAAGGGGAACTAATACAAAAGCAAATTTACCAATTTTAGCCCTTTAAAAAAAACAAAAACTAACACTGGCAATTTGATGTGGCAGCTTTATGGGAGGCCAAATCAGCAATTTCACATGGGCTTCAAGTTCTTCATTCTTTGTTTCACAGGAAAGGCTCTAGGAAAGAAAAAGGTCTTAACTTGTGCTTTTCCACATTCTTCGGCTTCTTGTAGTTGGACAGCAAGAAATGGGGTATCATCAGTTTGAGCCTCCGAATCAGAAATGGTTTTCAGATGAAGTTGAGGGAAGTTTGCTTTACTTCAGGGTAGGAATTCCTTCTGGTCTAGTAGGCCACTGATGACTTTCAACCCTTGATGTGACCTTCCTCTCTCCTGCCAGGCCACTTGCTGCCGGGATCAGATTCACTGCTGCCCCAGTGGTTACATCTGTAATTCAGCAGGCACTTGCGTAAAAGATGGAGAGCGTATGCCTTGGGTGGAGAAGACAACAGCGATTGTTGGCAACTTCCCTTCAAGCAGGGATGTGAAGTGTGATGACCGGTTTAGCTGTGCAGATGGACAAACATGCTGCATGCGTTTAGGAGCCTGGGCATGCTGCCCCCTCTTTCAGGTAAATTGAGGATTTCAAAGCAGGATAAACAGTTTTCCTTCTTGGATAAATGGTTGGTTTATTCAATCACCCATGGAGTCTCATAGGAAGAATATACTTGCATACATTACCTTTGGGGCATTTGGGACAGCCTGACAACAGGCCATTCTACTGGAAGATCTACCATGAGTGGCTGAAGTGAAAGCCTTTTATTGGCGAATTAGTCAATCTTCCCCAATCTGATACCTTCCATGTGTTTTGCAAGATAACTTCCATCCCCCACTTCTAAAGACATCGGAGCTTGCTGATGGGATTTTGATCGTTGATCTTAGAAGCCCAGGTTTCTCTCCAGTCAGTAGGTGGTGATGGAAATCACATTCAAAATATGGTACAAGAAAGAACTTTTACCATGAGAACAGTGGTGATATATGTTGTTTGTGTAGGAAAGCTGGCACATTTAACAGCCACAGTTAGAACTGGCAACTCTGTCGCTAAGGAATTCAGTTGCTAAGTGAAACATCACATGACCCTGAAAGGCGTACAATGTTACTTACCATCTGTTCATTAAGCAAGTCATCACAGATCATTATGCAAGGCACTGAATATTTGTGATGTGCAATTTTACTGCCAGCTTCTCCATTGGCTCTGCTTGTCAGAAGCCTGATATGCAATGCACAAGTAGCAATCAAGTGACTGTGGGATGCAACAGTGGGTAAATATGAGGACTAGCTATAAAGTTACTTTTTCAGTGCTGTCATAAACAGATGTCAAGTGAGATCTACTTATAGTATTTTTCTTTCATAGAACAATTTCAACAATAGTGTTTGGCTTTTTGGATCATCATAGCTATTTCTTTCTCATAGGCAGTTTGTTGCAAAGACCAAGCATATTGTTGTCCTCATAGTTACACCTGTGACGTAGAACACAGTTTCTGCATCAAAGGTGGGGGCCCTTCCCAGGGGATCTTGGTGACTCCCATTCTGGTGAGGCAGGAGACAGTGGTGAAACGTGATAACTTCAGCAGCTGCAAAGATGATGAGACCTGCTGCAAAATGGCCTCTGGCAACTGGGGTTGTTGTCCTTTTCCAAAAGTAAGTCGGCTTCAGAAAGCTCGGCGAGGAAGCCTTGATGTGAAAAGGCATGATTAATGCAAGACCAGACTCTTGTGATGATCAATTAAAAGTATAAATATGAAAGATTGATGCTACTACTATATATGCTAGCAGAGGTCAATATTTCCAGCGCTGGGTGGTCACACACATTTGTAGGTTCTCCCAGTGAACTTTAGCACGGTTCCTGGGAGGTAGGAGAATATAACACCACCTTTTCTCTCAGCAGCCATGCTGTTGCCTTTAGCAGCAACTGCCCTCCACCAATAATCAGTCTGTTTTCCATAGCTCATCTGAGCAATGCAAAAAGTGAAGAAGTGTCCCAAGCAGTTTTTCAGGGTGCAAAAACTGTGGCCAAGCAATAAAAGATGCCCATCTTTGTCTGAGAAGAGTTGTGTTGTGCTAGCTGGGAATGATGGGACTTCTTGGCCATCACATACAAAAGCCAATAATTTGGGGAAAGCTGGAAGAGTCAGCTGGATAAGAATCGGGGTAGCTATTATAAATCTACTACTAAATTTATCTCACCTTCTAAGGGCAAAATGAAAACAAACTAAAATATCTGCTAATGCAGGTATTGATGGTGTTCCTTTCACAAACCTTATGCCGTTGTTCTGTCCCCACTATACGTTAGTCTGTATGCAGCTCAACATGCAGCTAAAAAAACCCTATCCTCCAATAAAACAGACCATGTGCATAGAACTGGATGCTTTATTGAAAGAACAGGGTGTGGTGAAACGGGGGAAAATAATAATACATATACATACATACATGATGTATACAGAGTAGATACATACAGAATACATACAGAACTAAATACAAGATAGACAGTATTGAGTTATTGCTGAAGATAACAATTAATAAATGCAAGTAATCTAAATCTCACCAGCGATGCTCTGTGTGTGGGATGTGGGTTTGTCCTTGGATGACCATGTGCCACAGATTTAAGTTGGATTCTTCTTTCTGCTTCTGGTGCTTCCAAATGCTAAAGGAAAATGGAGTCTGGCTTCCCAGCGTGCATTTGTTTTGAGAGTACAGGCTGCTGGATAAAGGGATTGGGTCAGCTTCAAACAATATAACTGGTATTTGTCCCTCTGACCTAGAGAACAACAGTATATAAAGTTCATATATTGGGGCATGATACCTGCCCTTTTTCCTTTGCAGATATTTAGCTAATCTATTATGGCAGTTTAACAAGGCAGGAAAATGTTTTGTAAAGACTACATTAAATAATTTGAATCTTTGTAGAGAGAGGCATCTGAAACCAAGTCTAACTCACCAGATTAGGACTAACACCTTTCTGGCTGTTTCTTTAAACAAGCCTTAAAAAAAAAGCAGTATTACTGAGCAATCTCATGCAAGTTCTTTTCATGGCACCTTTGGATTCTATTTAGCTTGGCTTTTTTTCTCAACCTCCTCTCTTTCCTGCAGGTGGTCTGCAGCTCAGACCATTTGCATTGCTGCCCCAATGGGTCTATTTTTGATCCAGCCACAGGCAGCTGTGAAGAAGCAAAACACTCTGCCTTGGGCTCCTAAACTGTTGCCAGCTGCCCAATGTGAGTGCATGCATAATTTCCCACTTCTTTCCTGTTCAGGTGCCATTTTATGTGTGGAAATGATACTATGCCTGCTCCCCCAAAAACCTACATGACCTGTTAATCAGGGCAAACTGTATGTTGTTATTATCCCACTTTTAAAAATACATAATAAGGCATTGAAGATGCTGAATTCCCCTGCCTTTTGTTTTCTCCACAACCTGCGAGGTGAGGTAGGCTGAGAGTGATGGCCTTGTCACCCAATCAGCATTTGTGCCTGAGGGAGGCTTAGAAATCATAAGTTTCCTAAGTTCTGGGCCAGCATCTTAACATTACCACAGCAGCAAGAACAAAGGAAGAAACTGAGCCTTGACAAGAAAGAGAAGAAATGATTGTTTACACAATTGGAATTGGGTTTCTGCAGAATGCAGTCCCATCTACTGCCTAGGGTGGGTCCATGAAGAAGGACATTGGGGGAGATGGTCTCTAAAAAAGCCAAAATGGTAGCCATAATTTTAAAAAGGGGTGGCGTTTTAGTCATGCGATCATAATCCCTGTCTTGGCTTTTTTTTAATCTCAGAAACACTGCTGGAAAAGGCTGTGCCCTTCCTATAGTTTGTTTTTATAGGCACAGGGAGGTACGAGATGTTGAAGTTTCAATCCTTTGCTGGATCTTTACAGGCTTGAAAGTTAACGAAAATAAATTCCAGTATTTGCATTGGGCTGCCCGGCAAGAGCTTCCGTACTTACTCCCATACTTGCCATTAATTTAATCCCCTACGGTCCTAAATATGCCCTTTCACATGTGCCCTGTTATTGTTGTGAATTAAGCCTGGAGGCAAAGCTAAGACTTTCCTTATTATCAAAACAAGCACTATATCTGGAGACTCACAGAGCATCTCCTTGAGAGAAGTGTCGTCTATGAGCCATTCAGAGCTTGAGGCTATTCTGTTTTTTTCTATCTAATTCATATCTTAATTCAGACATTTTAAATTTAACAAGGAAATAGGAAAAAGAAGGAATAAAGGGGTGTTTCTGTCTTTTGGACAAAGGTCTCTTTGAAGCAAAATAGAACCATGATAAAATTAGTTCTATTTAGTTCCCTTAAAATTTTCCACCATAAGGTGTATTTTTATCTCAAGCCAAGCAATACCTCCTCTCTTGCTTTCTACAGGCTGTTTGCTGTGAGGATCACCAACATTGCTGCCCTTCTGGCTATACCTGCAATGTGGCAGCCCAGTCTTGTGAGAAAAGGCAGTGGCCAGGCCTTGTTGATGCTGCAGGGGACCTGCTGACTTCATCACAAACTGCTGTCTCCAGTCAAGATGTATTGTGCGGTGAAAAGCACTACTGCCACACGGGCCAGACCTGCTGCAAGGTCAAGAGTGGTGACTGGGCCTGCTGCCCATATGAAAAGGTTAGTGCCAGTTGTTGTTATTATTTATTAAATTTATATTGCTGCCTATTCGCCCATGGTGACTCAAGGCAGCTTACATAATTTAAAACCACATTAAAAAAACAATAAAACTAATAAAAGAATCAGATAAATGAATGTGATAAAATCACTCCCCCCCCCTTCCCCCTCCCTAACGGGTCAGGTAGATGTCACCGGCAAGAGACGTTCTGTCAGATAACTTGGTCCCAAGCCAGGAAGGGTTTAAAGGTGACAACAAACACCTTGAATTGCATCTGGAATCAAATCGGCAGACAATGCAGCTCCTGCAGGAGAGGTAATACATGTGCACACCGGGGTCTGCACAAATCATGTGGGCCGCTGCATTTTGCACCAAATGGAGCTTCCAGATGCTCGTCAAAAGCAGCCCCATTGTAATAGTCAAGAAGGGAAGTAACTAAAGCATGAGTGACTGTGAGTAGGGATTGTTGGTCCAGGAAAGGGCATAACTGACACACAACCCACAGTTGTGCAAATGCTCACCTGGCCACGACCGTCACCTGCTCTTCAAAGACTACTGAAAAAGAAAGAATTCTTCAGAAGCTGAAGAACCTACTGTTGCTGTGATATAATGTAAGCCCCTGCATTACACATAAATTGTAGATGCATGATTTAAAGCTATTTTTGTCTTTAATTATTAAATATTTTTCCAGGTCCTCCTTCCTCAGCTTGTAAATTTATTGAAAACCATGTTAAGAATTTTGAGCGATTTTCTTGTTTCTTCATTAAGGATTCCTTTCATTACCTCCTCTTCTATTTCATAGGGAACCTGCTGTCGTGATCGGCGCCACTGCTGTCCTTCTGGTTTCTATTGTTCCCTGTTTGGATATCATTGCTACAGAAAGTCCCCTCTCCGTTGGGACACTGGCACCATCTCCCCACATTCTATTGAAGCCCATATTCTGCTCTGAAGTGCCTTTTTTGGGTGGATTTGCTTGAGGCCTTGAGTTAAAGTGAGCTGTTTCAGGAAGAGTGGTATAAGGTGGTGAATGAACCAGGGCCACTTTTGCCAAATTGCTATTCAGATCCTAAGGGATGCCTTCTATTCTACATTTGTCACCACTCTTGGCCATCTTCACTTATATTAAGTCAACCTCTTTACTTCTACATTTCTTTTTTCCCCCTTTCCATCCATGATTCACTGCTCTGTCCAAAGTCATGAAGGGTATAACCTGTAATCTGAAAAAGGTGCCATCCTGGGCTTCTGCTCTGAAGGTTTCATGGGCGCAAAGACTGTCTTTGCCTCAGTCATTCCTTAACCTTGAAAGAGAAGGGCGTTTCAATGCACTTTCCAAAAAAGAAAAATAGATTGGCAGATGATTTTGCCACATTGCCCCTTCCAGCCTTGTCCCACCTCGCCCTATCCTCTTCCCACATGGCCTAGTGTATTGCTCTGAATGGCATCGCCTGGATTTCTGAAGAGCAAAAGTATCTTTTTTTCTGATAGTGTTTGCAAAATACAGAGATGCTAATTGTCCAAATGAACCACTGCAGGTGTTGAGTCACTTTTGTTTAAAGAAGAGCTGCCCAGCCCACCCTTTCATGAGATATAATAGCAATTTCTTCTTAAGATCTTACTTTGTAGTAGCCCCCCTTCCCTTCTTTAGAAAGGCTTAGCATTTCTGCAAAGAGATGCAAGCTTGCTTCTCAGACAAGTAATAGACATTTGTTTTGCTTCAGTTGATATGTGGATTTTGGCACCTGAGCAGTTAGGAGGGAAGATGGTTGTCTTTTATTATCTAGGTGTGTTCTGTCCTGTGATTTCCTCTCCTTCCCCCCCCCCCCATGCAGAAGGAGCACATTGATGCTGCTCCCCCACCCTTTATCTTTTTTTAAAATAAGAAACTTCAACTTACAAGTGACAGGTGTTCTCTGTTATCAGACCTGGATGCTATGGTTGTATGAAAAAATCAAATAAAATTTGATCAAAGTAATGTTGCAATTTTATATTCTTAATTCTACTTGTTAACAAACGTACAGAAAGTTACATGAGAGGGTTTTCCACAAGGTTTCTCACATGGATTTGGTTAATGGAAATTTTTTAAGTATTTTGGTTTTTTCACCTGACTTTGAGAGCAGGGGAAAGAATTCGATCTCTCTACTTTTACCCAGTATCTTCTGGGATCTAAGTTTTGTCCTTCCTTATAGGAACAGCTATCCTACAAAACGTTTTGTTGACCCCCCCTCCCCCTTGGCGTGCAAAGGGCAGATTGCAACAATGCAAAAGTAGTATATCCTAAAAGTACACCAAAAGAGATTGTATATCTGATCATCAAAAGGGTGAAAATGTATTTGATCTATTCTTGCAGCCATTCCAATAATTTTGAATGCACAAACATTCTATTGTACTTTTCATTTCTACAAAGCATTATTGGAGAGTTTGGGGAAAGTTTATTAAGTGAACTAAATAAAGGCAAACCTCATTCTATCTAATGCTGATGTCTGAAAACAGTAATGGGAAAATATTTCCCATTGCTTCATCTTCAAAGCTACTCATCTGTTGCTAAAATTGCTTGAAAACCTTGATTTTATTATTTGGACATGGGGGGTGGGGTTTGTCACTCAATCCATTCACTTTGCTTGTCTAAAAAGGATCTGAGATAATTAGAATTCTGTTATCACCTGATATTTTATCGGGGGGGGGGGAATCTGAAGTCATGCAGACAACATTTTATTACCATATGATCTTTCATTTCCACAAACCTTGTTAGTATGCCACCCATTTTTCAGTGCAAGAAGAAACATGCATACACATGAAATTATGGGTGCAACTATTAATAAACCTTTTGTATCCAAAATAGGCTGCATTTTATTCAAGGCAAAGTTCAGAATAAAGCTTATGAACTAATTTTTCTCCTTTTGTTTTATAGCACCAGCCAAACATTTGATTATTAACTTTGTTACTTGATTAAATTCAATTGAGCAAATGAATAAAGGTTCCAGAAAATATTTATTTGGTAATTTTTTTCAGCTTCTCACTAAATGTAGTTTTGTATTCATTCTTGAAAAGCTGAGTATTTCCTGCTGGTATTCATAAATGCACATTATTTCTACATCCTGCATTCAAAGTACCAGTATCTCTGTTAAAAATTGCAAAATTTGGTACAGTACTTTTCTGGTGTAGCGGTCCTAGAATGGCAAATCAATGCTATATGTTTAAAACAACCTTTTTTATAAGTCTACTCATCCATCAAAGACTCTCTTTTAAGAAAACTAGCTATTTTGCTACTTCTAGAAGAAGCCATGTGCTTTCAAAGTATTGGCTCAACTATTCACTATTTTTACCCTCTGTCTTATGCATTTAAAGTGGAAAGACAGCAAACACCCCATTTTTAAAAATGATGCTGAAATTCTACAAAACAGAATCTCTCCAAATGTATTGGATTACAATCCTATTGGTTACATTCAGTATGATTAATGAGGAGGATTATGGGGGTACCATTTTAGAAATGGAAGTGCCAGTTTATCTAGCCTTCCCTTTCTACAATAAATAAAACACATATTTAGTTTTCTCTGTCCTTACTGCCCTTGCCAATAAGATGCCACCAAAGGCAATATACATTGCCTTCTATATATAAACAAAGATGAATATTAAATCTTGGCTGATTTTTTTTTCAGTAAAACAAAAATTAAATATGCACCTAGCCCCCGAATTTGGAGTAATAAGAAAAGCAGCTTGGGAGAAATTTACATCATTTAATTAGAATAATCTCTGCTAAATACCAACACTGAAGTAATTTCAAAACAACATTTTCTTAAATAATTTTTGGAATACAGATTTTTCAATAGTAGAAAACATGACTGTTCTTATTCAAAACTCACATTTCTCTGATATGTTAAATTTGATCAACTTTGAGAGGAAAAAGGATACTATTTATATATTAAGAAAAAAATCACACTAAGCGGGAGAATATGGAATAAAAATAAGATGACTGAAATGTAAAATAGAAATATGGTGTAAAATGTATATACATAATAGAAGATGTAAAGGGAGTGTGGGGGACCAGAACAACACTTTGTTCTTAAAAGTTAAACTATGTAACAAAAAAACCTCTCACATTTCTCAATTCAATTTTTTCAAGTTAGATAGAGCAGCATGTTGGTATTCATTTATATCTAGGCCTTTTAAAATATTGCACAAAACCAATTTCTTGTATTTATTTTGTACATTGACAATAAAGGCTATACTAAAAAAACTTGGGATTCTTCTAAATGAGGGAGGCTTTGTGTGTGGTGGATGGAATAGTCGAGGCAGATGTATCCTGAATAATTTGAACATCACACAAAAAAGATGCCTCTGTCCAATTTTGAAAAAAAACCCATCCTTCCTCACATTGCTTATCCTGTTTGTTAAGTATCCCCAACCATTATCTATTTGAAGCAGCTCCATTTGCTACCAAAAATGGGTTGAATGCATCTAAATTTGGACACAACCCCATTTTCTATTTAAATAGCTATTAGATTACTGTAAAGCCAATTTATTCAGTGAGTGTATCACAGCAGTAAAAAAAATGGCAAGCACTTGGGATAGTGTAATTGCTACCCATTATTTTTAATTCAGATTTTACTATAGCTTGAATGAAGTAAAATACAGAAAGCCATTTTCTAATGAGCATGTATTGCATTAAATCCAAACTGTTTTACCAAATTTTGCAAATATTGTCAGCTCATCACCATAATAAATAAAACCACAACCAAATAATGAGCAAACTCAAAAAGCTAATAACTAGTTGTTTTGTCTTCTTATTAGGAAAGAAGTAAAATTTCCAGTTTGCTGTATGGAGCCGAAACTCTCCTTCAAATGATCTATGTATTTAATTAGAACAGCCTGCAGTTTCACAAGATTAAAATTATAGCTCCCAAGTAGCTTCCTGTTATTTTTTTGCAAGCAATATATTAATAGCAGGACAGGAATTTAAAAGATCAAGGAGGAAGACTGACCTTGGACACTGCTAAAATAAATAGATTTGTTAAAGTACTTTTTTCCCATCATTTCAAATTCACAATCCCTCACTCCTTCTCACAATAAAGAATTTCTGGAAAAACCATGTTGTACATCACATATCTTTAAAGTAACATTTCCCACTTCAAAACAAAGGCAAGTATTTTTAATTCTGTTTATATTTCCCTTAAATCAAGAAGATGTTTTCCCACCATTTGAATACTGGTTCACGTTTCAAGAAAGCAGGCCTTTCTTTGTCTCAACAATAATGCAACTTGTTTAACTTTTTTCTAAACTTTAAATTGTTTGCAGGATGAAGAGGTGATGAAGTCATCCCTAAATCAGGGATAGGCAATCTACATTTTTAGACTATAATTCCAACCAATGGAGGTCAGTAATATGGGGTATGCAGTATAAATTATCTAGAGAAGTGATGTCTAACCTTTTCGGCACAGGGTGCCGAAAGCGCACGTGCACACCCATAATGCAATGTGTGCGTGCCCCCCAGTACATGCACGTGACACCCTAACATGTGCCCCACACATGCACAAACAAATTTGCATCTCTGGCATGCGCCCCCAGTCCTGCCTAGCAGAGACCTAAAAACCAGCTGGCTGGTGGGAGGCATGCACGCATGTGCGACGGAGCTAAGCTGGGGCAATGGCTTGCTTCCCCGCAGAGGGGGCTCTATGTGCCACCTATGACACATGTGCCATAGGTTCGCCATCAGAATATACCCAATTGCTTTCCCTACTTTATTATATCAAATATATGTTTTAAATTAACTATCAGGTACATGAAGTTTTATTTTCACAGTGGTTAAACTCTTACTTTTTTTATTCAGAAAATATTGTCAATTCCAGGCACTTTTTTCTCGGAAGATTCTTAAACTGAATGTAAGGTTATATTCTAGAAACAGCCAGTCTGAAATTCATTTTTTTTTTTGTTCACTCATATTCAAGGATATTCACTACAGGAAAAAAAAATCTGACTACATCTGAAGACATATTTCACTAACCTGGTGTTTAATTTATTTGGCTGGGACAAGAATGCAGAAGGGGTTACATCTGTTCATGACAGTCATCCAGAATTATCTGTTCCATAATTCAAAATAAATCAGCCATCTCTATGAAATGTGAGAAAAATGCTTTAGAAAAATGTTGAAAATTCTTATTTGATTCCTTTTAATATAAAATGTATAACTGAGATATCCAATATACAAATACAAAAATGTGCATAATAAAAAGGTACCATAATACTGTACATACAGTGTAAACTGTTTTAACAAAAATAATTAAAAAAAATCCCTGGGACGTCTGCAGATCTGGAAGAAATATGAATACATGTTTGTGGGCATAACTACTTTTCTGTTCTTTTGCACAGTACCATTTAGCAGCACGAAATATCTCTGAACTTTAGCAAGTCCAATTATTTTTTTACTAGAAATTATTTCGCACCCAATTTGCTAGGTATGATATGCTACAACAAAAAAGGTAGCATTTCCTGTCAAGTGAACAGCATCAAATCCAAACAGAAGTTTTCCCATCCCCTGATTTACTACTGCCACTGCTTTTGTTCGAGCTGCCTTTGGGCTTCTTCTCCTTGGAACAGGATGGATTATTCTGATTATTATATGCATGGATGGCAAGATCTAAGCGTTCCTGAGCTACTTTGATTTCTCGCTGGATGTTCTCCAGTTCAGTGGGAATGTTCTCCTCGTTGCTGCCATATTGTTGTTCTTGGGCAATATTGGCTTTATTCTGCTTGTGTGCTATTTTGGCATTAGACAATTCTGTGTACTGTATCTGCTCAGGTTTCATGGCAATATTGTATCCTGGAGGAGCTGAGGGGGTATTCCAAATAAAAGGATAATGATAGGTTCCTGAATCTTCTAGCTCCTTCCGCTTGTTATTCAATGTGTCCCGAATGGTGCCAAATCCCAAGTGAAGCATTTCCCAGATGTTTAGAAGTAAACACAGACCACTCACACCATACATGATGAGCAGGAATATGGTTTTTTCTGTGGGTCTTGAAATGAAACAGTCAATAGTATGGGGACACGGATTTCTGCTACAAATGAACGCTGGACTGACTTCAAATCCATAGAGTAAGTACTGGCCTATCAGGAAGCCAATTTCAAACATAGTTCTACTCAGCAGTTGAAAGATGTAAATCTTCATAAGCCCATCTTCTCGGATTCGCCTCCGACCATCATGCTTTATTTTTGCGATGGATGGATTTTGCTTGTTCTCTCGTTCACTCTCTACCTCAATCTCTGGATACATCATTGGATCTTCCTCATTATCATCTTCTGCTTCTTCTAAACCTCGGTGTTGTTTCCAACGCATTTGAAGAGGTTTGCTTCGTAACTTCCTTTCTATTTCGCCATGTTCCACTATCCGAGCTATTTTGTGAGCAGCATAGCCTAAGTACATTACTGAGGGAGTAGAGACTAGGATGATTTGAAATACCCAAAACCTCACATGAGAGAGTGGGGCAAAAGCATCATAGCACACATTTTCACAACCTGGCTGTTCTGTATTGCAAACAAACTTGCTTTGTTCATCATAATAGATGGATTCCCCTCCCACAGCAGTGAGAACAATGCGGAATACAATCAGCACAGTCAGCCAGATCTTCCCCACAAATGTGGAATGATTGTGGATCTCCTCAAGTAGACGGGTCAAGAAACTCCAACTCATCGTGGTCAAAGATGTTTACCTAAGAACAAGGGAAGGGAACAGAGAAGGTTTTAAATATATTCTTTTCAACAAAGGAAAAATATGCCGGCATTGAATACGAACAATAATGATTTTACAATTTTCTAAATTTGCATCCTGTTTTATCTTGAAATAAATGAGATAAGTTCTAAAAATGATTCCATTTAATATTTATTAAGATTTTATATTGACATGATTTATTTCTACTTTTGTTAATTTGAACTTGCCCAAGCCAGAACATATTTATTATAAATGTTCCATCATATCAAAAGCCCCAAATTCAATCATGTGACTGTGGAGGGGGATGATAGCTGTCAAAACCTCAAATCCAGGTCGCAAGTACACTTTTTGGGATCCATTGGTAACTTCAAGCAGTTGCTAAGTCACTGGTCATAAGTTGAAAACTATCTGTAATATTCAGTTTCCAACAAAGCCCAGACAACCTAGTAGTACATTTTAAAATATGTTTCCACTGTTCAATGTTATATGTATATTTTCCCTGAATTTTCCTGAATAAAATATACATTCTAAAGTTCTATGTAAAGTTTATATTTTAACTGAATAATACTTATTCCATTTTCATTATCTAATTCAGGCTTCCTAAACCTTTTGCCATCATGCCTCTTTTCAGTGTAATTTTAATGTACACACTTCCTCTAAAAATTCAAACATAAAATAAATACAATGAACAATGAAAAGAATACAGCCAAACCTGGAGGAAAAGGGATAATAACAATATGCAACCTAAAAGATTCTTCACGCATCCTCTTTGACTCTGTCTGCACTTTCCCAAGGGAGGCAACTCAGTTTTAGAAACTTTGATCTAATTGATGCATTTCCTGAAGAAAGTACGCATTCTAACTACAATGAACTTGCATTGTAACAGTTTAAAGGCATGCTTGCCTTCAGCACGTATGTTGATAATTTAAACAATTCTCCCTTACATCTAAAGTATGACATTGCACTTTCATCCCATTTTCTTAACTTGAATATGAAACTTAAATGAGAACGGCAGTGCTAGAATTTTCTTTAAGCTGTGACAAGAGTGAAATCTATTTAAAATCAACATAAAATAAGCAAATATGTATGCAGAGCAGAAAGAAATTAAGCAAGAATGTCAGTTATCAGTGGAACTAGTAAAACAGCAAATCGAGGGATTATCAAATCACACAAGATAACATCAGTTACTCTCAGACTTAGTATTGATAGATTTCCTATTAGGAAAGGAAGAAAGTCGGGAGTAAGTCCAAGAGCAGCAAACTTTATCTTTAAAACCTATGTTTTTAAAATTCAATTTCTGTAGATTCATTCAATCTCTGCATGCGTATATACTTGTTCCACTAGGTGGAAGCACCTAGTTGATCTCAGTTGATCTCAATTAAAAAAAACAAACCAACACTTGGCCCAGAGTCCTAACTTAATTTGGTGATGATCTGACCAAATATTAATTGGGATACGAGATCACCAAGTAATGTTAGGACTCTGAGCTATACTGGAAAAATCATCCTGGAGGAAGGCATGACATATATTGTCAAGAAAACTACATGAGCACATCCACAAAGCCAATAGAGTGGAATTCTATACCAAAGTTATTCTCAGATCTAATGGCTTTCCTTGCTGTATGTGGAAAAAAAAGTGGTGAAAGATAAGATAGGAGTTCAGATTTTACTATTTTTTTTTTACTAGTAAAGTTTTAGTTGAAATTTTCCTGAAAATAATGCATATTGGATTCTCCTTTTTCTAAAGTTTATTAAAATTTGGTAGTCCAAAATTGTTCCATTCACATATAATCTGGAGGTTATACTGAATTCAATGGAATGTCCAAGTAGATTGAGTAGGATTGCATTTGTATGCATTAGAGTCACAAGTAGTTTCAGCAAGGTTTCAAATTTGTGGAATATCCCATTTAGCTCTCTGTTAAATCATAAAATTCATCATTGTTTAATTTTAACAGAGATATGAAATTCAGCAACATCTGGAAAATAATGAATTTCTCAATGTACTTCCTTTAAAAGCAGCTGGGACTAAAATAGATGACAGCTAAAGCACGTATTTTTTGCCCAATGAAATATATGCACTTACTTATTTGTATGTTTATCAAGTGGAATTTAGTGGAGTTTCTAAATAAAGGGGATGACAAATTCTCTTCTCACAAATACGTAAAGTTTTAATTTAATAATACACTGCATTTCCACATTTTGTTTCAAGATCCATTAATAGGCTGAATTACCTGTAAAATGTTGTTGTTTTAATTATGTACATTTAGTGAGATATTTACAATTGTACTATAGTCATTATATTTTTTTTAAAAAAGCTATATTAAAGATTGTTTAATAATGGAGAATTCCAACCCTCCGAAATGCTTTATGATATAGCATATGACAAGCTAAAATAGACATATGATAAACACATGACTGCATTTTTTTGTTTCCTATTTTTCCCTTTAAATATTTCTGCAGCATGGAGAATCAGTGTGATTAAAACAGAACAGCAAGATAAATATACATCAGTGATACATCACTGTACTAAGTGATAACTACCCACAAACAATGGAAGCATGGACATTGTCTTTCTCAGGAAGGATATTTTCATCTTGAAAGTAGCAGGGAATAGAAAGTTCAAAAGAAAAATATTTTCCTATGCCCCTTAATCCTTATGTGATTTATACTATCCGCAGGCCTTGAAGGAAACAAACTGAGGCTATTAAATGCAACAAGATGTCTAGTTTGGTTTTATTGCTCTGGTTATTTTATTTTATTCCATTTTATGTTTATTTTGGGGCTGCTATCCCCTGGCAGATCTTTTACATCAGCAATTTTTTGATGAGTGGAAAATAGGTTCTTCCAGGAAGGAAACAGAATGAAGACTGGGATATAATATTCATATGGCTTTGTTGCAATTTGTGGTGGAACCGCACTCGTGACCCGTCAAAACCGCAGTCCACTAAAGTGCGCCCGATCAAAGCGCGTACGTGACATCATCAGCAGCGCGACAAATAAAATTAAAAATAAATTAAATTAAAATAAAAATTAAATTAAAGCAAGCCGATTCACATAAAGGTAAGGGTTAGGTTTAGGGTTAGGTTTAGGGTTACGTTAAGCGTTAGGGTTAAGGGTTAGTGTTAGGTTTAGTGTTAGGTTAAGGGTTAGGTTTAGGGTTAGGCTTAGGGTTAGGTTTGGGGGGGTTAGGGTAAGGTTTTCACGTTAATTTTAAATTTACCGCTCACAGCGTGCCGTTTTCGTCGCGCTGTGATGATGTCACGTATGCGCTTTCGTCGAGCGCGCTTTAGTCTACTGCGGATTTGTGGTGGAACCTGTTGCACTTACTGACGACTTGTAGTAAGCTGGAGTAGGGGTGCTGAATCCATACTGGTTCTATTTGATCTTTCAGCAGCTTTTGATACCATCAACCACGGTATCCTTCTGGGGGCCTGAGAATGGGAGGCACCATTTTTCAGTGCCCCCCCCCCCCTCTCCTTCTGCTGTTGTCAGTTGCAATCAGTGTGGATGGGAAAGGAGCAATTTAGCTAGAGGTCAGTGGTGTCCTCCTCTTTTTAAATAGCTACATGAAGTTATTGGGTGTAGTTATTTGTTGGTACATGGTATCATCAAAACATTGATAATACCCAGTTGTACACCTCTATTCCCAGCCGGCTGAGTGAGGTTAACATCCTATCCTAGTATCCAGAGATTGTGAGGAACTGGATGGGGATGAACAGGTTGTGGCTCAGCCCTGCCAAGATTGGGTAGTAATGGGTTTTAGATCTTCTAGATCTGAGAGTTGAAGTGTCAATCTTTGGCCCAGGATGAGATAGCAGGGCTTTGTTCAGACTTGGCATACAATTTGGACAATTCTGGATTCACAGTTCTGCTCAAAACGAAACTATTGTCTGCGGCCAGGGGAACTTTGCTCAACAGCCTCTTTATGTGCCAGTTGTAACCATTCCTGGATTCCCTAGTCACCTAATTCAAACTATTAATTCAAACTACTACAACTTATTGCCCATGTGGTTGCTTGTGAAGAACATCTGGAACTTTCAGCTGGACCAAAATGCAGCAACTCAGGTAGTTATATGCACAACTAAATTATACTCATGTATACCACTACACCGCAAGCTGCATTGGCTCCCACTGGCTTCTGGGTGTGATTTAAGTGCTATCATCTTTAAAACCCTACATGGTAAAGATTGGGTTAGTTTTGGGATCAAGCTCTCCCACAATGTCTGCCTGCTATAGATAGGTCATGCTCCAGATTTTCCCTGTTTAAACTCTACCACCTTGCGGGACCTGAACCACCTTCCTAGTGGTGGCCCCTGTACTCTGGAATGCTTCCTCCCACCCTTGATATAGGACAGTCTCAAACTCTGCTGACCTTTGGGAAAGGGTTGTTATAACCAGGCTTCTTCTCCAGGCATTTGGATCCAGTTGAACAGAGTTCCTTTTTGGTTGTTTTTATTGTTATGCTTGGCCAGCATTTTTTATTATATATTTATTCAATGTTTTATGTTAATTGAGTTTTTCCTTGATTATTTCTTGTTGGTGTATGGCACCCACAGTCACACTGAGTTGGGTAGCCTTACAAATCTAGTAAATAAATAGTTAAACAGATTTTCTGTGGTGTGGAAAAATGTAGAAGTCACATTAGAAATGACACTATATAGATGCTGTAGATAAAAAAAGAAATCATTTCATAGCCATGTTTGGAAGTACTTTGCCTTCAGAACGGAGCAATTCACATGTACCTTCTAAGAAAGCCCAGGTAATTTCTAAGTCAAGTGTCAACATTTTTATATCAAAGTGAGGATTTTGGAGTAAGACACTATTCAAAAACAAGAGTTGTTGATTAATAAAATTTTAAAATTCCTTGGGCTCTTTTATTTGTAGTTATAACCCTACTTCCAAATCAATTATGAAGTACTTAGAGGAGAGAAAAATAAAAGTTTTGACAATCCCAGACTTGACTGTTATTGACAATCTGTGGGGAAATGAGGATCCACACAGA